GGGATTACAGGCATGAGTCACCATGCACGGCAAAATACAAACATTTTCTAGGTGTGGTGGCACATGCCTGTAGTCCCAGATACTTGGGAGGGTTAGGCACAAGAATCGCTTGAGCACAGGAGGCAGACATGCAGTGAACTGAGATCACACCACTGTACTGGGCGACACAGCAAAACTTCATCTAAAGTACAATTAATGCTTCAATTTTTGTTTTTACCTTTTTAAATTTTATTTTGGCAACTCTATGTCATTCCCATTTTTACATAAGTTTTAAAGCAAGATTGTTAATTTCTTCAAAAGTATCTCTGCAGTTTTTATTTAAATTTCATAAATCCACAGATTACTCTGGACAAATTGACATATTGATAGTATTGAGTCTTCTACCAATGAACATAGCATATATTTAGTTTATATTTTATTTGTCTCATATAGTCTGTGTCCCCACCCAAATCTCATCTTGAATTCCCACATATTGTGTGAGGAACCTGGTGGGAGGTAATTGAATCATGGGGGCAGGTATTTCACAGGCTGTTCTCATGATAGTGGATAAGTCTTACAAGATCCAATCATGTTAAAAATGGGAGCTTCCCTGTGCAAGCTTTCTCTTTGCCTGCTTCCATCCATGTAAGACATGACTTGCTCCTCCTTGCCTTCTGCCATGATTGTGAGGCCTCCTGAGCTGTGTGGAACTGTAATCCATTAAACCCTTTTTCTATATAAATTACCCAGTCTGGGGTATGTCTTTATCAGCAGCATGAAAACAGACTAATACAATAAATTGGTACCAGTAGAGTGGGGCACTGCTGAAAAGATACCCAAAAATGTGGAAGCGAGTTTGGAACTAGGTAACAGGTAGAGGTTAGAACACTTTGGAGGGCTCAGAAGAAGACATGAAAATGTGGAAAAGTTTGTAACTTCCTAGACACTTGTTGAATGGCTTTGCACAAAATCTTGATAGTGATATAGACAACATTCAGGTTGAGGTGGTCTCAGAAATGAGAAACTTGTTGGGAATTGAAGCAAAAGTGACTCTTGTTACATTTTAGCAAATAAACTGGAAGCATTTTTCCCCTGACCTAAAGATTTGTGGAACATTGAACTTGAGAGAGATGATTTAGGATATCTGGTGGAAGAAATTTCTAAGCAGCAAAGCATTCAAGAGGTGACTTGAGTGTCATTAAAGGCATTCAGTTTTAAAAGAAAGACAGAGCATAAAAGTTTGGAAAATGTGCAGCGTGACAATGTGACAGAAAAGGAAATCCCATTTTCTGAGGAGAAATTCAAGCTGGCTGCAGAAATTTGCATATGTAATGAGGAGCCAAACGTTAATCACAAAAACATTGAGGAAAATATCTCCAGGGAATGTCAGACACTTTTATAGCAGCCCTCCCATCACAGGCCTGGAGGTTTAGGAGGAAAAAATGATTTCATGTGCTGGGCCCAGGGTCCCTCTGCTGTGTGTAGTTTAGGGACTTAGTGCCCTGCATCCCAGCTATTCCACCCATGACTAAAAGTGGGGGATGGTACAGATCAGGCTGTTCCTTCAGAGGGTGCAAGCCCCAAGCCTTGGCAACTTCCACATGATGTTGAACCTGTGAGTGCACAGAAGTCAAGAATTGAAGTTTGGGAACCCCTGCCTAGTTTTCAGAGGACGTGTGGAAATGCCTTGATGTCCAGGCAGAAGTTTGCCATAGGGGTGGGGTCCTCCATGGAAAACATCTGCTAGGGCAGTGTAGAAGGGAAATGTGGGATGGA